CGCTTTTGGAAAACAGTTCTATATAGCACCCAAAAGCTTGACATCATAACAATAGAACCCTTTTGTGTGCTAAATAGAACCATTTTCAAAAAGGTTCTATATAGAACCATTCATGATGCAACAAACCATTTAAGCATGCCCATGGTTCTTTGAGTGAACAAGGTTCTATATAGAGAACCACTGTCTGTACTAAATAACCCTTGAAGAACCATCTTTTTAAGTGTGTTTACACTTTTAAAAAGATGTTTATTAATGGGTTCTTTAGTAAAGACAATGGTTCTATTTAGCACCAAAAAGGGTCCCTCTAGGGTAGTGATGTCAAGCTTGTCACAATAGAAGAACCCTTCTGGGTCCTATATAGAACCATTTTGAAAATGAAGAACTCCAGGAGACATTAAGGGACACAGATCTTAATAGTGAAAGGTCTTTTACGACTGTGTCCCGTAAATAAACATAATAAAGCACTATTAAAGCGAATTGAATAAAAAGTGAATAAAACCTGCTGTTTTGGTGTTTTCAGTCATCAGAGAGCAGCGACTCCACTGACAGTGCAGAAACGGATGAACAGGTACCGAAACACTGCACACCTGGAGTATCAGACACATTCTTACATACTTACCTGGTGGGGGCGATACCTTGATCACAGAGGCCAGCTTGGAGATATAGTCTCTCCTGCGGGTCCTAGGACGACCCCGGGATCTCGTCCCTGTAGGCCGTGCCTGGTAAACCCCACTGGAAGGCATCCAGGGGGGCATCCTGATCAGATGCGGGAACCTCCACTGCATAATTTCTGGTAGCGGGGGCTGCGTTCGAGCTCTCCCCTGACAATTTTTTTGGGGGGCAGTCGTGGGCTGGTGGAACCAGTCTTGTGACCGAAAGGTCTTCGGTTCGATCACCTGAGCCGACAGTACGTGACTGAAGTGCCCTTGAGTAAGACACCTAACCCCCAACTGCTCCCCAGGCAGTGGAAAATAACAATCGCAAAAAACAGAGATACATGTTTAAGTGTGTTCTCTGTAGATGAAGTGCTGGCTTATTTCACAAAATGATCAGTTTTAAATGATTAGGTGGGTAACGCAGTTATTACCAGTGTTTCTCTGTGATTTTAGTTCTGTCCAAATGCGCCATTTCAGTCATTTGAACCACTTTTACCTTCTATAAAAAAACAAAAAAAGAACCTCAGGTTACATTAATTCTGTGCAAATCGACGTATCAGTGAAAGCACTACAATATTCTGTGTTCAATATTCTGAGTTTCGTAACCTTCTGTTGCATGAATTATTATTATAAAATTTTCTCTAAAAACTTCCTTTTATTGAAAACAAGACTAAACAAACCCAACTTATACTAAAATGTACGACCCAATATTTACAAATACTGTAAATTAATACAATTTCAATGGTATTTGGAATGTATGGTAATAACAGCATCATAATAAGAATTCCTAGTTATGTGATGTCATAAAGTATTTGTCCTTTCAAAGTAAACAACCTTTTTTCCATAATTAATTAGAAAAACACAGGTTTTATCTTCTGTATTACTGCTTTTTAGTAAAATTGAGATAAAGTCATTGTTGCCAAAGGGTAAAGGGTTCTTTTCATAGTGAAATGGTTCTTCAGATTAGTGGAGAGTGTGCTGTAAATGGTTCTATGTAGAACCTTTTTGAAAAGGGTTCTATATAGCACCCAAAAGTGTTCTTCTATTGTTACAAACTTGACATCGTTACCATAGAAGCACCCTTTTTGGTGCAATGTAGAACCACTGTCTTTACTAAACAACCCTTGAAGAACCATCTTCTTAAGAGTGTTTTTGACACTGAGTTTAAAAAATAACTGCAAAGGGGGCAAAACGTTCCTGTCAAAGAGCCACATTTCAAATCAGATAATGAATATTATAAATAACTGGTCATTTTCCGTTCATATTGTTCAGTGGGGCGAGATGATTGGCTGATGTGGCACTGCCCCTCTGAATGACCCCGTGAGGCCGAGTCTGTTGTTTAAGACTAAGTGTGTTTACTGTTATGTTGGCAATACATACAATTAACATAACAATAAGTCCCTTAAATCAGTGTTTATGTATGATGTCATCAGGTTTCCTCTGCTGCCCCTCAGCTGATTGGTGAAAGTTCTTACACCTCAGAAAGTGACATCATAGTGAGAGCGCCCGCAGACTTCGGACGGCCCAATGAGAACGGCCGCAGCGCTGTTACTGTCAGCTTACGGGACGAGAACACCAACGTCTCGGTGGACGTTCTGACCTTCGTCTTCACCACGGAGAGCGTGGACGGCCGGAGCAGCGCGGCGGATGAAAGCAGCGGACTCGGCGATGAAGGAATGCAGGCTGATGAGTCCACAATGACTCGACTCGGTGTAACTGATGAGAAAAACAGCAGATCAGATATTGTTGATGGAGAGAATAAAATGGGTTTTGACAGCAGTGAATCCTCACCAAACACCTCAGCGATTGAAGATAAAGTCAACACAGCCTCAGTAATTTATCCTCCAGACCAAGTAACGACATATTTTAACAGCATTGAAGCTCTACAGAAGGAAATGGATGAGCTCAGTGATGATATCCAGGCTGATGAAGCTTTTATAGCTGTACCACATTCTGGTAAAGCCCGTGAGGAAAGGTCTGGTGTTGCCTCAAATGGTGAGGCAAAGCAAGCCAGTGAAAGCAGCATGAGTCCCAAACCCTTCTACGCAACTGACCATAGGTTTGACCTAAATTCTGAGGTAACATACCAGGACAATTCAACAGTCCTTGACTCTACTGAGTCAAACTCCAGCTTAGAAGACATAGATGCCTCAAACCCAACTGATTCTGGATCAGATAACCACTACAACAGCCCCACAGAGGACCAGACTCTGAGCAAATCCCTTGATGACCCTCAATCAGACAGTGTAGAACTTTCCACCATACTCATCACTGCCCTTCACTCTCTCCTAGGAGACCTTACTGGTCTGAGATCTATTCCTGCTCCTCTAAACCTACAGTCTCTGACCAGCAGGGAGGACACCGCTTCAAGGGAAGCGAAGGGCAAAGGAGCTGAGCCTGGATCAGATTCCATAGATAATCAGAATGTTCACTCACATTCAAGCCCCACTTCAGGTTCTTGGACATTCCAGACAGTCTCACCAATCAGCTCCAGCTCTGAAGAGGAAGAAGGTGATGAGGATAAATCCTCTGTCACTGATGCAACACCCAGCCATACTGTAAGTCCAGTGCCTAGTCCAGAGCCCATGGTGGTAAAGAAGGGTCCTCCAAAGTCTTTCTCCTCAGGTCCGATATATGTCAATGATGGCTGGCCAGCTTCTGACTACTCCAACTCTTTGAACGATTTCAGGCACCACTATGCAGAGTACGAAGAATGGGATCACACAGACAATTCTATCAAATCACACCACCCTGGAACACCAACAGACACAAATACATATCACGAAACAGACGAACAAGATCTGGAACAGGGTCCAACAGAAGAAAACAGTCCAGCATATTCAGGCGAGGCAACAGAGAACAAGGACCTTCCTACAGAGGTCTCAAGAAGTGAGGACAACTCACAAGATGAAGAACAGCTCGAGATGGTGTCTGGTTCTCCAGCATCCAGGGAAGATGTTAACTCTAGTTCCAGCGAGACCAGCAGAGAAACAGCCAAGCAGCTTCCCAAAGCTCCAGAAGCATCTCCCACTGGTGCTGGACCTACCTTGTCTAACAGTCAGGAGAGCACAGAAACCAGTGAAAAGGGAGCCATAACAGTGAGTTCCAGTAGTGAGGAAAGTGTTGAAATGGACTCAGTTGATGACCAGAGTTTAGCACCAGTGGGCTCCAACAGCACAGAGAGCCAGAACAAGACGGACACTCCTGACTGGCCAGGAAAACAGTTAGCCCCTGACACAGATGCTCAGCTTGTGGTGCAGGTTAGTCCTGACATTCAGGCAGCTACTGCTTCGGACAGACAAGGCAAACCTGTAGATCTTACACCTGGATCAAGCTCAGAGGAAGAGTTGGATCCAGTTTCAACAGGTGTGATCTTCAGCCGTGCACCCACGTCCAGTGAGGAGCAGGTGTCTCGAGCAAATGTAGACAACAGTACTGAAATAGTCTCAACTTCCAATGAAGAAGATGCTAATTCTAGTTTGAACCCTGCTATCCCAGGCAACTCCAGCTCAGAAGACAATCCAAATGAAGAATCGTTTTCAAATGAAACCACTGACAGCCCAGGAACCAGTGTGGAGTCGACTCCGGAATTGACTCTTAGCCATGAGTCACTGGACATCACCACAGAGCACCCAACGGTCAACTCAGAATCAGTCTCCATAAGTGCTTCCCTTGTTAGCGATGAGGATCTGTCCAGTGAGATTAGCACACCGAGTCCAAGCGCAGACCCCCAGATCAGTGGGGGCTCAGCTAATAGTGCAGGGCTAGCTGCAGTGGATGCTAATGCTAATGATGCTAACAACAGCGAGGAGTCTCAGGAATCGCAAGACCTTACCTCGTCCACAGTTCCTCCTGTCGCTAGCAGCCCCAGCCGAGCTCCACGTACTGAAAAGAGCAGTGAAGAAGATGACAAACAGGACAGGAAGTCAGACCAGGTGATGGCCAGTCGTTTCCATAGCAACCCCAGGCCTACAGCCACACCTCAGGAAACAGCGGCCAATCCCTGGACAGCTTTTCTTCAAGCCCTGAAAACACACGTGACCAATCGAAGCGTGCAACATGCTGACCACAAAGGCCAGAGATCATGGAGTAACTATGGTCACCATAGCAACAGAGGAAAGAAATCAAGCAGCAGTGAGGAGAGCAAATGAGGGACTTTCACATGAGGGTTATCACAGTACAGTACAGTGCCGTAAACCGCCTTTACCACTTGGCGTCTCACAGCAACACTGACTTTTACTTTTTGGTGGTATTTATACGAGTTCACAGCAATGTTTGTCTTTTCTCTGGGTGCTTCAGGTTGTTTTGGGGTTGAAAAGAAATATAAAATATTTTAAAACTATATAAAAGTAAGTTTTCTTCCAGATATTACATCTACACTGCTGTCCAAGGCTCCTTTTTCTGTTTAAAGAGAAGAAAACTGACCAAAACTGTCCAATCAAAACAAGCTATGCCAGGTTTGCAAGACAAAGCACAGAGTATTAGCGCTCACATTGCCTTGGTTTATTACGTTTATTCATAATGTCTGCATAATTAAATGGTTAACGTGGTAAACAGAGTCATTCAGAGTGGTTTGGTGTGAAACGCTCTGTTCTAGATAAACTTACCGAGTCAGATCTGTTCACAGTGGTGGTGATAGGAACCAGACGTCCACCTCTAAAAGCTCCCTCACAGAAAGTCACTACAGTAAATGGTTATGAATTCACTGCCTGATGACTGAGACACTGTTTTACGATAGTTGTGAGGTAAGATTTGGGCCCAGAATGCAATTTACACTTTCTTTACAGTGAAGCATTTCACACCAAACCACTCGGAATGACTGTTTACGCCTCAGCCACTGGATCATGCTGGAACTTTGAGAATGAAATTAAATGACATCTGTGATATTTGGGAAATATTATGATATTGAATTTTATCAACACTAGTACAACAGAAAAAGTTTGTATCATCCTAAAACTAAAAAAATAAACAAACCTAATTCAACTCTGCCTCACATTTGAGTCAGTTTACTCAGACTGTGTTACCTCAGCATTACATTCAGCTGCTGATGGAGCAGAATTGAAACGTTTCAGTGCAGATTATTTGGGTTTCACTGGAATAAAATCCTCTTTGGATCAAAATGAACTGTTTTTATTCACTGAAATGGACTTTCATTCATTTTGGTCCATTTTACATAAACCAGTTACTTAAAGACGACACAGTTCAGTTCATTCCTGTCAACATACTTTCAGTCTGTCAGTCAAACAACCCTGCAGACTGTAAAGGATCTGGTGGTGAATTGCTGTGAGTGTCAGGTTAATGTTTAGTGATTTGCAGCTGTCATGCTTTCGGTAAACGAACTCAGCAGCTGGTCCTGAAGTGACTGTGACGCTGATGTTTCAGCAGGTCCTGAATGGAGTTACTGTCATTTGGCTGCACTGTTTAAATATAATCGGGTCGTTCTCCATTTGGAGTCTGAATTCAGTTGGATACATTTAAAAAATCAGTTTCTTTAATCCCAAAACTAAACAATCTTAATACGTCCATTAACTTCTCCTGTTATCATAAATACAGACAGGAGCTGAATTCAGTCATGTTCTACAGTCACTGGTGCTGTATGAATATGGTGTAACTCCAGTGACGGTGACTCCAGTTCATTCTGGGTAAAACTGAGGATTCTGTAAACTGGCTGACTCGTTGGCTGATCAGGTGACCTTGTGAACTGTTTAAACTCAGTAATAAAAATGATATTTGTCATTATTTTGACTAAATATTAATTACCCAGCCATTAAAGTTCAAAACAGCAGTGACACATAGACGTTATGAGCTGCCTGATAAACAAAATTATTAATAAATTAATGAGATATAGTGAGTGATGACATAATTAAGTCTTGACCACAGCTTAATAAGGCATGATCTCATTCCCACACCTTACTAAGTCGTGGCCATGACTTAACTATCTTGTTCCCCATGCCTTATTAAGTCATGGTCATGACTTAATTATCTCCTTCCCACGCCTTACTAAGTTGTGGCCACACATTAGGATCTTATTCCCACCAGTTAATACGGCGTGGCCAAATATTATTTTTATTTATACCGGACGTCACCAGCAGGGCTCCGTGCAAACGTGACCTTGACTCGGAGAACATGAAGATCCTAATAAAAGTGTCTGATGCGCTTTGAGCTGTCTGCACATGTTTGTTTACCCACAGCGGAAGCGCTTCTGTTCTAAGAGAAAAGGTCTTAAATCTCCCGATGCTTCATGCAGCCACAGCAGCTTCCTGGCTTTGTGTTCATTCATAGCATCTTCAGGACGGGTTACCATAAAAGCTCTGTGACTGACAGGGACGTATTCCGTCCCCCTCTGTGTCAGCAGCCCACCCAAACCACCGAACCCCACCACATAAATACATTTCACAATCAACACCAATCATACACAAACATTTCAGCAGCAGCATAAATCAGCGTCCAGCTAATTGTAGCCCTTTGACTGGCAATGAATCAGACTCATCCAGAAACAGTGATCCTAAAGTGGGAATTCAACCCATTTTCCCAAATTTCTACATACTTCACTGTTTGAGATGTGATTCAGAGAGGTTTGGTGTGAAATGGTTCAGATGTCTTTACAGTGGTGGTGATACGAACCAGGGGTCGCCATGACTACAACACAAATATAGACATTTTATTTACTATCCAGAACCACCAGTGAACCTACACGAGTCTTCTGAGTTTATATGAATGTTGATGATGAAAATAGTGGAAAATCTGAAATAATAAGTTTTCTTTGGGGACTATTTTGCCTCACAGCGCCCTGCATGTATCCCTCCACCATGAATGGAGTTTAAGTTCTCTAAACTATCATAAAACAGTGTCTCAGTCATCAGGCAGTGAATTCATAACCATTTACTGTAGGAACTTTCTGTGAGGGAGCTTTTAGAGGTGGACGTCTGGTTCCTATCACCACCACTGGTTCTCTAGAATGGAAACTCAATTTTGTAGAAAAATTCTAAAATTCAGTGTAATTCCCCTTTAAAAAGTGAGTCTAACTATAATCTGTGAGACTTTTTTCACTTTGAACTTGATTATTTTTTAAAGTTAAAACAACAAATTTAAAATACAGTGTAACAGGCAGCACAACAGTCTGCATCGCCATGGCAACAACAGAGAGAATTTGTGCTATAATATGTCAAATTGTGAAAAAGAGGATGCAGCTATGTGTTTTTGGAGGAGAGAGAGAGAGCGAGAGAGAGAGAGAGAGAGAGAGAGAGATGAAGGAGGAGTGGGTGGAGGGCAGGGGAAAGGATGAGCAGACTGCTGGGAACTGGGCGCATCTCTAAACCGCTGCACTTCCTCTGAGATGAAAACAGATCTGTCACTCCTACAAACAGAGGTGGGGTGATATAAAGCCTCAGTGTGAGTCTGAGGGTCAGTGCAGCTGTGCCTGTGGATCGTCTACCAGCCCAAACGATGCTGATCTCTGTGGTGCTGACCTGCCTGCTGGGCCTGACCGCGGCCTCTCCGGTGAGTACGCCGCTCTGACCCTCCTAACAGAACAGAGGACTCAGCACTGCTGACTGCACTCAGTTTGTCCTGCAGTTCTTAATTTAATTAGACATGCAAAAGTTTGTGCACCCTTGTCACATTCCATGTTGTTGATTTTCTGAGTGTAAATAAGTAAACACGCAATTTTAATACACAGTATTTAATGCACAGTTTCATTTATGTCGTTGCTGTCAGATCAAAACCTCATACCTCTGAAACAGTTTAACAGAAACAGTGACACGTTATATTTTGTGTTTTTTTTTTTTCTTTCCAATATGTTAAACAAATAAATAGATAAGAAAGCAAATAGACACAGAAACTGTGGGCTAAAATGTGCAGAAACGTGCCACATGTAAAGGGGAACTCCACTGATTTATCAAAATGTCTGCTTGATTCAGTGTGTGAGATGTAAACAGAGTGATTCAGAGTGGTTTGGTGTGAAATGGTTCAGATGTCTTTACAGTGGTGGTGATGGGAACCAGGGGTCGCCATGACTACAACACAAATATAGACATTTTATTTACTATCCAGAACCACCAGTGAACCTACACGAGTCTTCTGAGTTTATATGGAATGTTGATGATGAAAATAGTGGAAAATCTGAAATAATAAGTTTTCTTTGGGGACTATTTTGCCTCACAGCGCCCTGCATGTATCCCTCCACCATGAATGGAGTTTAAGTTTCTCAAAACTATCATAAAACAGTGTCTCAGTCATCAGGCAGTGAATTCATAACCATTTACTGTAGTAACTTTCTGTAGGGAGCTTTTAGAGGTGGACGTCTGGTTCCTATCACCACCACTGTGAACAGTTCTGACTCGGTAAGTTTATCTAGAACAGAGCGTTTCACACCAAACCACTCTGAACCTCTCTGATTACATCTTAACACTGAATCATGCAGAAATTTGGAAATATCAGTGGAGTGTCCCTAAATGTGTCCACTGTTGAGGATGTGTTAACTAATCTGTTTTTACTCAGACAATCAAAACAAACTTTTGCATATGACTGTAAAGCTGCACTGATTACACTGAGCTGACTTGACTCAAATCAGTTCACCATGAATACAGTATTAAATCAGTAATGTTTACGTTTAGCAGTGTTGATGTTTTATCATTGTCGTTACACTTCAGGCTTTTTCAGTGCGCCTGTGTTACAGAGGGCAGTGACTTTGATACCTTAAACGGAATTTTAATCAGGTTTCTGATGAATTATTGCATGTTATGAAGTGTACTGTGTATTTACAGTATGATGGATTAAGCTTACTTGTTTTGATGACGCAGTAATTTTACAAAACTGGCTTATGCGAGGAACATCCACTCATCTGACCACACAAATAGAAACGTCTACAAATTTAATAGGATGCTGTGATTTTCAGTGTCTGTCAGTTCTTATTTGAATGATCTGTGTCTGATTATTATTCCTGGTTTGCTGTATTAAACTGTGTAAAAACACTGATGACATATAACCCAGATGTTCACCCCACAGCTGCTGCATCTTATATTCAAATTACAAATCACCAATTAGACACTAATTAGTATCGAGATAAACACGGCAGACAGGCTGAGTTTAGCAGTGATTTGTGCTGTTTTGTGTGTCAGATTGTTCAGAAGGACGTTTTAGATGACCTGGTCACACAGAGGAGTCTCAACAGGGTCAGCAATCCAGTGGGCCAGCAGACCAACATACCGGTCTACATCCCCCCTCTACTGCCTGTGAGGAAACACTGACCATCTCTCTTTAACACACACCATCATCTATACATTAACGGCAATTTATAACAATTTATACATTTTACAGTACAATTCATACATCAAACACCACAC